CTCTTGCAGCGGCGTCATGAGTAGAGACCCCGCGAGAAGGATCATTTCGCTCGCATAATAGCCAACGAAAGCATATCAGGTTCACTTGGATATTAGTTAGCGGAAGAAATCTCACCGCTTGGAGGGTGATTGCTCTTCGCTCCAAGCCCAAAAGGCCTGGACCTGACAGAGAGGCTTGAAGTTGTCGAGCGCAGTCCAGACAGCAGCCACAAGTCACCACATGCAGCTGTTCCAGAAATTGGAACAGCTGACATTGCATGGATAATCTCAACACAGAAAGGGTTTCTGACAGCAGCCACAAGTAAGCTCAATGTGGTACCCGGTAGAAAGTCGATGGGTAGAGGCATTGTTTCAACTGTGATGTTGACAAGTGGACGAGCGCGAAGAAACATAAGAAAAAAGAAAAAGAAGAATCCATTTTTCCCCGCAAAGAAGCAAGGGAGCCATGACTGTTTTCTGTGTTTACTTTTTCTCCCAGGTTGATAGGTACGTTTTTATCTCTCCTCTTTTTCTTGCCAGTGGCGTGAGCTGCATAACAAGACCATCAATGATGATGTGACATGTCACTTCGCCTCGCATACGGAGAGGTCTGTCCGCACTCCGCAGTTTGCATTCTCAGAACTTAGAACTGTGTTGGCTTTTGTTTGCTTCTGCCCTTCGAGGCAATCGTCCATGCAGTCGGTTCTGAATCTCTGCGAATCAGGTCCCAACTTGATCGCTGAGAACATAAAGCCATATCCCATAATGAAGCAATCCTGTCGAAACCCTTCCTTACTACAGGGCAAGGTACTGTTTTTGCCTACCATAGAACAGGATATGAAGCTGCGAATATCAACTGAAACGCAATGGCTCAGGGCTATGGTTTTCTTGAATGACAGCGATAGATAGACCACTAGCAGGAACCAGGCACAAACCTTCTTCAGCAGTGAAAGCCTAATCCTGAGACATCCGCTCATGGCTCAGTAAGGGCTGGAAGATTAGCGGTCGGTCAGTTTACTGTATCATCCTTAAAGTTAGTACGAGAGTTAGAATGTCAGCTCCAACTGCATACAGCAAGTGTTGACTCCAGTGAGTAGTCAAGCGGAACTGCTTCGAGAAGGGTAAAGCAATGCTGATTCGATTAAGAATCGTCCGCATTGGTGGAACAGCTAGCGGTTTACCTCTCTAAACGTCCTGCCCATGGCTGCTGTTCCGGGAAGTCAAAGAGATCCAGTTAGTCCACACAGCTTACCAAATACCGGGGACCCGAAGATTTGTGTGGATAGATACCTTGTGGAAGGAGCTAAAGCCTTTGAGGAAAAGGGCGCTAATGCACTCTGCTTCAGACTGTCCGTGCTCCAAGCCCTCCCCGCAGGCGACCAAAGCGATAGCTCTTCAGCCAGCTACCCTGTCTTCCGGCATCTGAACTTTGCATTCTGGCAACTCTCCACGGCTCGATTGAAAAAGAAAGCCCAGAGAGTTGCTGCCGCTAAACGAGTTGGAAGGTATTGAGCAAAGCCAGCGGATAACCATCGAATGCGCAAGCATTGACCAATAGCTGAGGCCTACGTTAGACAACAACTTCCATGTAGCTGCACTGATGCGCATGCTTTGGACAGCTGACGACAGAAAACTGATACGTTGACTCCGCTCTTTGATTCGGTGGGACACATCTGTGATTGATGGTGCCAGACGCCTGTCTCCACAGGCTATCTAGATGGCGCAGATACAGCAAGCTCCGTCGGCGGACATTGATTGCCACCGAAGTCCGAGCAACAAGATCCTCATTCTGGTCATTGGGACGGGCATCTTTTTCCCGGCATGGAATTGAGTAAAATCGTATGTGCATTGAAGGCGAGCATGTCGCTGCTGTGGTCCTAAAGTCGTGGTGCGCATCAGGACATGGCCCTGGGTGACCCTGTTACACCTGTGATCTCAGAGGCGTCATGAAACTCAGCGCTGTGTCAGAAGGACGACTCTGACGACAATGGTGGTCAACCATTCGCTTAGGGGAATAGCGGATCCAAACCTGGGACATGGTTCGGATCAAACAAAAAAGGGAATCGCTACTCCCTGCTAAGATGTGCCCTGACTTCTTAGGCCGCAGGCTAACTCTAAGCTAGCTTCCCCGGCCTTAAACTTAGCCTAGATCATTAGTTGCTATTGCTTTTTTTGGGTGCATTGACGCGCTCGGTAGCACTATTGACGGACCTTCCATCTAGCTGGAAAGGCGCTGTACGGTCACAGACAAGTCTTGGATGATCTTCATGCTCAGGAGGCGACTTGTTGATTCCCGGATGGGGACAATCTCGTAAATAGCAAGCATCCTTTTGTCCTCATTCGGTGATTGGCGTCATTAGAGGCGTTAAGACCCGATTCCGTACCAGAAGGTATGTATCAATGCCCCATCTGCCTAAAACAATGGCGGCCATGCATCAATGGGACCTTTTCGTACAGTCCATAGTGCCATTTCTGCATGTATCTGTCTGTATTACATTAGGCTCCGTGTTGAATCCCGCCACCGAAGCCGTCAGTGATGTTAGTGAAATTCTAAAAGCTCACATGGGATGATTCGTTGACCAACTCTTCAATAGGCGTACTTTTTTCCACACTGCAATTGGCCATTCGGTTATATAAAGTAGCCCAAGCCCATTGTCCGGCAGATTCTTTGGAGTTGTCACAATCTGCTAAATCTCAGATCACATACAGAGGACTCACGATCTGGCCTCCGACGGCATATTCTTCAGCCGACATTGATACTTTAACACATCTTTTGTACCCCAAGCTCGATTTGCGCAATGGATTCAACTGCTCAGCCAGGGGCCCAGGAGCATCATCAAATGTTCCCCTGTGATGGCATGGGGGGCCAGCAAGGGCCAGCGGTATGCATGACGCTTTGTCGCAACAATAGAGACAATCCACTAACATGATAACCCAAAGGAGAGCCACTGTCCAATGCCGCGGGTATCCAGCTACCCTTTCCCCCACTTTGCCATGATCTATATAGACAACAATGGCGAGCTCGGTGTGGATGTCTCTACATCCCTTGCAGGCTGTGAAAGGGCCATTTTTACCGAGGATCTCAAGCAGAGCTTTGTCAGAGCTGTGACTACTGATTGGCAGCCAAACATGCAGAATTTCCCCTCCGGTGAGAACGCACATAAAAAACCCTGAAATTATAATTGCTGACTAGCCGTGTGTATCACCAGCCGGGGCGATTGGAGCAGCACATAGTGAACTACCAGAAAGGCAGTCCTTCATGTTTAATGCCGGACTGGATCTACAATCCAGCCCAGCGTGGTTCCAGCATGGCCTACCAAGGCATCCCAGGCTCATCCCTTGCGAGTTCCAGACTTTGCAGAATAAGCGCTCGCGGAGGAACAGGAAGCGTACAAGCTCGGAAATGGGTGGTGATTCAGATTCAGGTTCGACTGATGGGGCAGCCAAACGGACACCGATTCGCGTAGGACAGACCGATGTGCTGCGCCAGTTCTACGAAAAAGCTTTTGAAAATCTTCAACAGCTCAATTGCAGGGTGATTGCAAAGGCGTTTGTCAAGTTGGTGGAACCTCGGAAGCAAGTCAATCACCCGTACAATGGGCGCAGGACAGTGATGGGAGGACCTTGCCAGAAGTTGGACCCTGAATTGACTAAGCCCAAATGGTGGCCCACAGGCGTTCAGCACAAGGAGCCAGATCACCTCCTCAAGCATGGTGTGTCAATCGTGTTCTTCCGTCGCGTGGTATTTTGGAATTCAGTTGAGTCAGCAGTCGCTAACTTTTCGTCTCTTCTAGAGAGAATTCGACTTCTTATGCACATTCTCTGCGAATTGAGAGAAAGTAATGCAATCACCGCGCAAAAGCTCCGAGAGGCTGGGCAGGATGTGCACCGCCAAATTGCACCGCCTCAGCGCCGGTTCATCTTGGATGAGATTTATGACGTCCGGGAAATCGAGGAACTCTATTTGAGCGGAAAAATCAGTATGTTTGGACTCTAACGAATCACCTAGTGGTATCAGGCTGATCATCAATGACCCAACAGGCGGTGACACCATTATTTATGTCTCCTCAAAGCATCTGCCAGAGGGAATTGAGCCGGCAGTAGTGAACGTGAACGAGAAGCAAATCGCTGACGCGGATTACTTGCCTCTGTCCCCAGTATCCATCAGCCGCAAAAGCTCAGTTGAGAGCGGACTATCATCTCTCTCAAAGGGTATGGATCCATCCATCAATTCCAGTGAGCAAACGCAGGCGCTGCATGGGCATGCAGCACCTTCTTTGACTGCCTCCAATTCTTTGCCTGCCTCCAATTCTCTGCCGGGTTTCTATGCTCAGCATTCGATATTGTGGAGCCATGAAACCTCTGCGACGAATGTGCCATTTAATATCTCGTCAAACTGACTGGAACCTGTTATAGGAAGGTCCGTTCCCGTGAAATCTCGGCTGTAGCCTGAATCTGAGCCCGTCTCTGACCTCCTCAACAGCCTGTCCCTGCGACTTGCCTTATCGCTGGTCGTCCTCTTGGTATTCGCTTTTAGCCATCTATCGTCCCTGTTCATGTGGAGACAAATTGCAAAAAGCGACGCTCTGGAATCGCATTTTCAGCAAGCGCGTAGATAATGTGGAGTTTTTACCTTGTGTCCTGTTAAGAAGCGCGTGGGCGTATCTTTCGTTTGTGTTATTCCCTTTGTTGATTCTTCACTGTTGGCTATCAATTAGCTCATAGCGTTCTGAGCAAATGAGCTGTTCTTAGGCCATGGCTGTGTTTTGGTGTAATAATGTATACTGTCCCTTTCACAAAACTGACTCATTGTGAGGAAAGTGGAAAGTCCTTACTCCCTGTATACGTACCAGACCAGCTGCGAGTGCCCTGGGTCAGTGTATAGTAGATCTCTCGACTGCCAGACCGCGAGGTCCAGCATTCACCCTTCGTCTGACGACCAAATTTCAGAAGCAGAACCAGCAAATCTATCAAGTCCATAGAGAAGCATGCGGTCAGAGTCTCAGATCTTCTCTCGCAGTATGGGCTTGGATCGGAAAGTCTGGATTCAAGAGGGTCCTTATTTTATGAAACACTATTCTCAAGCCCTTTCCTCTTGCAAGGATCCAATGAAGACAGGGTCAAGTCACGCGATCGTGTCGACTCCATTTCGGCTCCTCGACCTCCCCTTCGAAATTCGCAGCGAAATCCTCTGCAGGGCTATTTCGAGCACCGATAATTACTGGCTAGACCGTGAAGTCATCATTTTTGGAGAATCGTTAAAGTCGACATATTATATCCGTGGCCGCACCGTCTGGCGAGACTCAAATGGCGTGTACATGAATCTTTTAACCACGAGCAAACAGATCTGTGACGAGGTGCAGCAGGTCCTTTTCAGCCGTTTTGCATTCGACGCTCTCGGATGGGGATACACTATGAGATACTCTGATCCTTCAAAAACTCCCAACCGTCTCCCCAAGCATCGCATCATGCACATCGCCTATACACCGTACTTCACCGAATACATGCGCGAGCATCGCCAGAGCGTCGATCTCATTCTCTCCGGGCTTCCTTTGCTTAGCTCAGTTCGTATCCTGATATCTTGGGCCTGCGCACAACGTTTGGTCATATGTGGCGACACTCGAGCTGGCTCTCTACATATAGTGGCGGTGGCACGTCTGTTTCGGCAAGTTGGAAAGGTTGCGGTTGTCGGCCAGTCCTTGATGGGTGAGCAGCAGAAGCAGTTGGTGATGGAGGCAAGGAAGGAGCTGGAGCATGAAACGTGGTATTGGGAGCTTGACCTGGATTATCATCTTTTCATGCCTTTTCTCACCAGTAGTGTTGAGGAGCATCTCTGAGCTGGGGAGGGTGATTTCATGATGGACCGAACATTCTGAGCGTGCTAATACCGCATCATTACAACTCAACAGATGCATTCGGACTATGATGTGAATTCCATGCTGCTGTTCTAAGCCATATAGCTGAGGAGCTGTCGTGGGAGGTACAATAGATGTATAAAGGCTAGAACAGCATAGGCTTGCAAATTGGAAGTCATTGATCCTCGCGATTGTATGGCTGCCGTCATGGCTTCTTCTGAACAAGGCTCAACAGCTTTTTAGACTTTTTTCTTCCTTCAAAGAAGATCCATCCGGCGTCTTGTAGCCTGCATATAGAGAAGTGCATGAACCTACCACTGGTAGTTCAGCAAATAATCTCGAAGGATCTCCAGTGATGGACAGTGTGACTAGCTTGCAAATAGATATCAATACTTCATCCTCCATCTCTTTTCGCTGATATTGTGGATGTCTTTCTTCAAGCAAGACCGTTTATCGTGGTTGCAATTCTCCAATAATAATATTATGGCTTATTCATCCTATAAAATTGAAAGAATAACCTGCATGCTAGATACTGTAACAATAAGAATGGACACAAGAGCACAGTGTAAGGTATCGACGGACCCAGTCACACCTCAGGCAGCAAATCATCGGAAGTGGCAAGGGGGATTCTGAGGCTGGAGCTTATTGGCTGACTGAGCCGATCATGCCCCAGATCCCAGGGACCGGACCTTGGGAGTAGCAAATCAGCCGCAGCCAACCAGAGACGTCACTTCAAGCACACGTCGAGCTTCATCTTCCCAACGGGCCTTTTCTCAACACCACGGTCCTCCCGCGTCGACTTTTTCACATCCTTTCTCCGCACGTTGTTGCGTTCGGCAGTACAGTTGACTCTTGCATGGTATCACGCGCCTTGGGTATTGAAGGAGACTGGCGCATTTGACCATTGGATAACAGTCCCAATCTTCATTGGACGAAGATTCGTTGTTTTTGCCTTGTGAGTCCTCAGCCTACCTAGGTAGTTATATTAGCCCCTCCTATCGATAAGACTTCCAAACTCTTGTTGCTTCCTGCATCCCAGAAGTCACCTGGTTTAATTAAGCCTACGTATTCGAGCTGTCTCATATCTTGTTGGGGGACGGCATCTGGGTTCGAAGCAACATGGTGATGCTAACTTTCGGCCGCTTTCTTAGTCGTCCCTACCCTCACAGCCGGGAAGGCCCTACAATCTTCTCGTTCCAACAAAAACTCATCATGGAGGGCACCGGACTCGATGGTGGCCAAGGCAGAAAGACGAACCAGATGACGGGCATGCATGACTCTCCTGTGTTGCAACCCGCGGCGGTGGAAGATATGGATGCCTTCTATGACACGGATGAATATGCGAACTCCTCCAATCGCTCATATTCGCCGCCAGCCTCTCCTCCTCGGCTGTCGCGAAATTCTTCCTTTTCATATCAGGATGATTGGGAGACTTTTCCGCCGCTAGATAAACTTACCGTGTTTGACTTGCTTGACAACCTTTCACTCTCTCAGAAACTCGAGAAATGGCAACAGGCGATCAATGTGCAGAGAGAGAAGGTCAGAAAGCAGCGCGAAAAGCTGAAGTTTACTTCAATGAACGCAAAGGATCGAGTGGTCGGAGAATGGAAGCGGCGGGTTCCTACAGCCGATGAGCAGTTGGCCAAATATCGCCGTCGGATGAGTGACAGTGTCAAGCGGCTGGAGAAGCAGTGGAATGCCACGGCCACGGTGACACTACGCGAGAAGGTTTCATTCATCGCGGGTGTTCTCAATATCTTCATCAGCGGCTATCTCATCGGAGCCTACCCGGAATACTTCTATATCTGGTTCAGCGCGCAGTTGGCCTATTTCATGCCGATACGATACTATGGATACCACAAAAAGGGATATCATTATTTCCTTGCCGATCTTTGCTACTTTGTCAACATGCTTTGCATGCTCAGTATCTGGGTTTTCCCGAGATCCAAGAGACTTTTTATCAGCACCTTCTGCCTCACTTTTGGAAACAATGCCGTTGCTATTGCCATGTGGCGAAACTCCATGGTCTTCCACAGCATGGACAAGGTCGTCAGGTAGGTGCCGTTGAGAAATTCCCCAGCAGAGGAGCATTCGCTGACGTGTCTCATGTGCAGCCTCTTCATTCACATCATGCCTCCAGTTACCTTACACTGTCTGGTCCATCTCACTCCTGCGAAAATGCTGCGAGAGAGATTTCCGGCCGTCTACGACATCAAGTTTAGCGAACCCGGCTCTCCCAACCACTATTCTCTCGTTTCCATGATGCTGTGGGCAACCGTGCCTTACATGATCTGGCAGCTGACCTATCACTTTTTCATTACCGTGCGTCGTGCCGAGAAGATCGCCGCTGGGCGGCCTACCAGCTTCACGTGGCTTCGCAAATCCTACGCGAAGACCTGGATTGGGAAGTTTGTGATCAGTCTTCCCGAATCATTGCAAGCACCTGCCTTTATGATGATTCAGTACATTTATGCGCTTCTGACCATGATTCCTTGTCCCCTCTGGTTCCGTTTCCGATGGGCCAGCGGTGTTTTTTTGACAGCCCTATTCGTTTGGAGTATCCATAATGGCGCCACTTACTACATTGACATCTTTGGCAAACGGTTCCAGAAGGAGCTGGAGGAGCTGAAGAAAGACGTTGCCCGCTGGCAGGCCTCTCCGGCTGGTATGACCAGCCCGACGCTACCGATCTTGAACAACGCTTCTTCCGCAGGGGCTGGCATGGCTGGCATCCTGGATGACTCACCGTCTGCGCAGAAGGAATGCGACAAGTCAAGTCTCGACCAGATCCCTCCACTTGACGCCAGCGCGGTGTCGACTGCCATAGATGGCTCCAATTTCGCGAGCGCTGCGATTACGCGAGAGAGAAAGTAGAATCCATGTCGCCTACCCAATTTTGCAAACGCTCTTTTATCTCTTGACTTTTATCTCCTTCAATCTGTCTGCTGAGTTTGTCTATGCTCTAGCAATGCTTCTGGATTGGGCATCGGTTGGTTTTGTGTTGCTCTTGATGATACCCTGCCTTAGTCATTCTTTTGTCTCTGCGACTTGCCTATATTCATACACTTTATGCCTATACGATCTAGAATGTTGATGATTGCGGTTGATTTTGATTCCACGAATTGCACGAATTTTCCTTTCAGCTGGATATCTTTCTGTGATTTCAGTGGCGAATGTGTCGCGTTGATTATGTCTGGTATGAACATTATGGTCTACATGTTACTAATTTCAGAATATGGAGCAACTTGAGATTAATACGTAATTATGATCCACCAGAAGAGCGGCCGATGCCAGTAGAGTAGAGAGCTTGTTTCCATGATCTCAATGGGATTTGATAAACTCCGACGCCAACGAAGATAAACCCCGGAAGCCGATGAGATCACGTGAAGAAACCACATCTTGCATGGTCTCTGAGAGTTCTCAACGACATCATTACTTCAAACTTTGAGTGTCATACTTACTGTTTCTTCTTCAGGGTTGAGACCATTAATAGATCAGGATTACAACTCTCTCCAAGATTGCTGCGCCCGTCTGCTATACTCGCTCGTCACCCCGAGCATTTCATGCCCCTAGACTTCCGCAATGTCCGTCACAATGAGATCGGCCAGACTTATGCGCGCCAATTCTGTACGCCCTAGTCTGATCGGTAAGTCAACTTTTTATGCTCCATTTGGCCGTCTTATACTTGGAGGATATTTATCGTGTCTAATGATGGTCGTTACCAATAGTCCGACCACGGTATAACGGCGCCCTGGGCGCTGCATCGGCCGCAAATCTCCGGTTCAACGGACGGGGGTTCCCAACGCACCTACAGGCCATTGCGATCTTGGTCTCCCATCAGCGCGGTTATGCCACAGAAACTTCTACTTCGACATCTTCGCCCTCCAACCCATTGCCGCCTCCGGGCTTTAACGCCGAACAGGCCAAGAAGCCCATTCCCAAGGAAGATGCGTCGCGACTTGCGGCTGACAACGGGAGCACGCAGGTCGCTCCCAAGCCTGGGATGCCTCTTGCGGCGGAGAACAGCGTAGATGCACAGAAACGCGCCGAGCTGGAAGCGGCGAAGAAGACGCTGGCGGACGATGAGAAGAAAGTGACTGAGGCGAAAAAGGAGCAGAAGAAGTTGACGATTGGGCAGAAGATTAAGAAGGAAGTTCAGCACTACTGGGATGGTACAAAGCTTCTTGCTACCGAAGTTAGGATCAGTTCGCGACTGGCGTTGAAGATGGCTGCTGGATATGAGCTCAGCCGGAGAGAGTACCGACAGGTAGGTCTTTTGCTACCCTTACGAAATAGCGTTAAGTGGATTCAACTCACGCATTGAACAATTAGCTTCAACGAACGGTGAAAGATCTTGGCCGATTGATCCCATTCTCGATGTTCATCATTATCCCCTTCGCCGAACTGCTACTTCCCATCGCCTTGAAGCTGTTCCCCAACCTGCTGCCTAGCACCTACGAGGGCCAGAAAGCACGCGAGAAAAAGGCTCTTAACTTAAGCTCAACCCGGAAAGAGGTTTCGACCTTTTTGAAGAATACTCTCCGAGAGAGTGGTCTCCCTGTGACTCCTGCCGCTGTCAGGAACGAGGAATTCGCAGAATTCTTCAAGAAGATTAGAACTACCGGGGAAACCCCCTCGACCCAGGACGTGATCAAGGTTTGCAAGATCTTCAAGGACGACTTGACCCTGGACAATCTGTCCCGCCCTCAGCTTGTCGCCATTTGCAAATACATGAACCTGAATTCGTTCGGTACGGACGCCATGCTCCGGTACAACATTCGGCACCGTATGCGTCAGATTAAGCGTGATGACCGCGCGATTTTCTACGAGGGGGTGGAGTCGCTTTCTGTGCCTGAACTGCAGATGGCTTGTGCCTCACGTGGCATTCGTACGCATGGCATTTCTCCCGCTCGCCTGCGGGAAGACCTGGCGATGTGGCTGGATCTGCGCCTCAAGCAAGGCGTTCCGTCCACCCTTCTGGTGCTGAGCAACGCGTACGCATATGCGCAGGGCGGCAAGGAGGCAGAGATGGCGTCTCAGATTGAAGCGCTCCAGTCTGTGCTGTCTAGCATCCCTGAAGAGTTGTTCCACGAAATTGAGCTCGAGGTCCATAATGCCGAGGGCGCTGCCACCAACAAGCAGCGTCTTGAGGTTATCAAGGAGCAGCAAGAGCTGATCGAGGAGGAAAACGAGCAGAACAGCAAGCACGAAGAGAAGGGCGTTTCGACCCCCAAGGACATTGAGGATATCGATGAAACAGAGGACGCGAAGTTTGAGGCGTCGGACAGCCAAGAGAAGCAATCCAATGAGGCTGTGGAGGCTGAGAAGGAAGGCGACAAGGCCGAGCAGGCACAGTCAGAAGACCTGGCTGCCAAGGACAAGGTCGAGAAGAAGGGAGGTTCCTCGCAATAGAATGTCGCCGGCAGTTGTTTCTCCTTCTATCTCCCCTCGCCTCGCCTTCTGCCTGGGATGATAAATCTCCCAAGCGCATAGACTTGCATTTTCGTCTGATTTTCCACAGGCGCTCTCTACCGCTTCCACCGTGTTTTACCTTGCACTCTCGATAGACTTCTTCTTGTTCGGTGTCTCTGATGTCCATTCTCTTGGTCGGAATATTCTCCTCCGTTTACCATCTTTATTTTATTTATGTGGTTTTGATTATTAGTGATGGATTGTCTCGATAGATATCAGGAAGCTCGGCGGAGGTTTGGCAACTGGGAGAGGGTTCCTTCGCATTGGCCAACTGGGTTGCTTACATTCGGATTATATTAATGGCCCACTCTCTGCCTTACTTTTCTTTTTGTTAAATCCGTTGACTTCTTGAGAACGATGTAAGACTAGATGGATGCAATGGATGCATGCTTTCAAAGTTGAATCCAACGCATTATGATGAGCATCTCGCACCTACTTGCCACTGTCGAATGTCCGAGTGAAGCAGGGGACATGATAAAATGCATCTCGGCTTGCCCCCAAATAGCACGCTTAGTGCTAATTTCACTCTGTTGTCAGGCTCAATACCAGCACTACTGTATAGTACAGTATTTCCTAATCTGGAATCCTGATCCAATGCAGGAAATGAGACGTAAAATCCACTTTTACTCCCGTTAATAAGGAAGCTAACTGACTCGACTCGACTATTCGTGAGCAGCCTGTCCGCCCATCTCCAGCCCGCCAACTTTGCCCTTGGAATTTTTTCCCTCCCCAGTATGGAAGAATTATTGACACCCTATTTGCGCTGTACGGAGAAGGACTCTCGGTGAGCAAACTCTCTGCCTAGCGGTATACAGATTGATAATTAACCTTGCCACCTGCACAGTCCTGGCACGCCTGCCTTTTCACTCGCACTTCAAGGCCCGGAAAACCTGTCGCGCACAGCCCCATACCTATTCCATGTGGCTTCACAGCGTGTGGATGAGAGCAGCGAACACTGTCTCTTCTCCTGGGCCCCGCAGTCAACGATACACCTCATGGTGTTGGGAGGAAAACCCCGGGGAAAATATATACGGCTATATTCCTCCAGGAAAGACTGAAGTCGTCTTACCAGGTGGTCCGTTTTTATCCTTCACGGTCGTCGATAATGATGGGGAGAAGCCGATCGTGCCAACGCCGATTTCCGGGTTGAGCGTCCCTTGCTCCTTTTCTTCTTCCCTTGTTTCTTTCATTTGAACCCCCGTGGTTTGAATTTAATACCTCTCTTGAATACACGCTAACATCCTTTGCACCATCTTATTAGAGCGGAAGGATCCTGTCCTGCTCTGATCGCAAGGATAGAATGCCATCCACAGGACCAGGTCGCTTTACAGGATGATCTAGTGACTGCAACGCTCCATGTCACGTATGAACCAATAAGTGGCGGCGGTGGTGGACCGATCACTTTCAATACTGCGGGACTGAAAACAGGCCTCTGGGTGTGGCGGGATCGGTGGGTAAATGTGGAAGGATTCAGTTGCAGTGGCGGAAATACATTCTGCGATGATCCTGATATTCAAGTCTCGCCAGGCCGCCATGAGGGCTTTGCCTGTCTGCGTCCGGGAGAAACGTGGTCTCGCACCGTTCGGTATGAATTGCTCACGGACATCAAGAGCAGGGATGGCGGGGAGGCCCAGGTTGGTGAGGTCATACGGTGTCTCTTCAGGGGAACCCAGCTCGACTGGTGGGTTTGGGGGACTCGGGAGGATCATCTAGCTACTACTGTCACAATCCCCACTACGGAAAGCTGGACTGTACGGGAGCCTGGGAATGATCCTGTCGTTATCGTTCCTGCGGCGGCGCCGGTCGATCTAGAGATAGTATAGAACGAACCGATGGAAGGGAGAAAAGGTTGGTGAAAAAGGAAAAATGGGGGGAAGAAGTTCAATTTAAAGGGCCGGTTATATTGCAGGCTTTTTTCTTCCAACTTGATGCTACTTGTGACATGACTGAAGTAGTGTGTCAATTGAAGTTCGAGTAAATCATGCAACCTATGATTTTCAGGAAAATGAATAGGATGTATATAATTGTTTCACTCTAGCAGTTGTCAATAAATATATAATCCAAGCGCTCACTCCTTTGTTGGTTGTTTATCTTACTCAATCTGAATTAAGACCTCTGCATAGCTTCATACTGCATAGACCAATGTCGTTCTGCAGCATAGATAAGCTGTGGTGGAAGAACTAAGATAGTTCAAGGCTGGTTCTACCCCCGGAAAGCCAGGACTTTTCCAGACCAGGACCCCAGACGATCCACTACTAACCTCGGCAACGGCAATGGAGCACCACCCATCTCCACGCCAATATCAAGAACCAGATCCATAGTTCATGTCATGACGATATAAAACAAAGCCAAGTGCCGTAATCGCTCATATCCCTGCATACTATGCGAAGACGACCACTCCTCCAATTGACCGCGATAACCCGTGGCTTCAGCACCAGCACCAGCACCGGCACCGGCAGGAGACTTGCGTCACAGCCCGCGCCCGCAAGGGAGACGATGCCTCGTCTGAATCCGGTTTCACAGGTACGTCCTTTTAATTTTGAAACTCGGAGGCAAGCTTGATTTAATCGCGCGTTACTGCTCCTGTCTTCCCGTCCTGGCACTTTTCAGCGGGCTGCATGCGGAATGGGTATGTGGATGTTTCAGAGTGCGATAAATGATCTCATTTCATTTCAAGGTCTGCGGCTGTCGCCGCCCTTGTTTTGTTTTGTTTGAGACTACCCTGTCAATGCCCAGATGATGACAGTGATGACGACGACGTTGATGATGTATCTGGGCTAACCAGCACCGCTACTACGATTGCGTTGAATAGAGAGCGATTGATCGGCTGAGAGAGTATCGGCCACCACCGACGAATTATGAACTTGTGCCATTGTCGCGTCGAGCGGCGGTTCTAGTGCTACTCTATGCGGATGCCAAGGGGGATCTGAGGGTTGTGTTGACAATTCGGGCGAAGACGCTGAGTTCGTGTGAGTACTTCCATAATGTTCCAGGGAATGAAATGTCGAGGTGTCGATGATCATATCATGACAAGATGATGAGGAGGATGAGCTACTCATACCGCTATTCTACAGATGCTGGCCAAGCAGCTTTACCTGGAGGTGAGTGGAGTGCTCCAATTTGCGGTCAAGAATTCAAGATTCGGAGGAATGAAGATATCTCACTGCATATGATGTATCATCTATCATCACTTGCAGAGTCAAGACTCAGGAATGTGCCTGTAAAATGAAAACTCAAAACTCAAAAGTCAAAAAAAAATCAAGCACTCACACCACGCTTTCCCAGGACGGGCGGATACGCTGGAAGAGACCGCATTCCAGACGGCTCGCCGCGAGGCACGTGAAGAGATAGGGTTGCCTGATCTCAACCAGTCATTTCCCCGGCCGTTCAGCGTTGAGCATCTCTGCGAGTTCCCGGCTAATCTTGCTCGAACGGAGGTGGTTGTCCGCCCTTGCGTGGCGCTGCTCCATTCGTATGACGAGGAGACGGGCGAGAATGCCGACCCAGAGGTGTCGCTGATTCCCAGGCTGGATGCCAGAGAGGTGGCGGCCGTCTTTACGGCGCCATTTCACAACTTTCTACGCATGAGGGATGCGGATGACTGGGGCACCGAGGACCCAACAGAATGGTATAAGGGGTCCTGGACCGGATGGCATCGGTCCAATTGGAGAAGTAAGTGGCACTGTCCTCCGTTTGCACCTAGGTACCAATGCTGTACCTTACTCCTGTACTCCGTAGAGTACATTGTTTGACAGGCGGTGTACCGTCGGTTGAATCGGGTTGGATTGCAATTGAAATAAAGAAAAAGTCAAAAGAAAAGGAATTAGGCAGAAGGAAAATGACAAAGAAAAAGAAAAAATAAGATCGTCGGTTGATTGGGTTTTTTGCTTTTTTTTTTGGCGTTTGTCTAGGTAGTTCTTTGACTGTCACTGACCCACTCTTAGTGCATCAGTTCTTTGTCCCCATCAACAGCTGGTCGGTCGTCAAACCGCGCAGCAACAGCCGGATGCAGAAACGGGCTGCAGACGAGCTAGAAGAGAAGGAAAAATCAGGCGAGCTGACTCGCTATCGGGTGTTTGGCATGACGGCCCGCATTCTGGTCGATGTCGCGCGAGTGGCATATGGCGAGGACCCGGAATTCGAGCACAACAGCCACTTTGGCGATGAAGGGATGATCGCCAATCTCCGAAAGATGGGCCGTCTAGGTGCCGTTCGTAAAGCCACGGACGAACTCACGCCAGAGACGATGCAAAAGGCAGCCAAACTTAGTTAGGTTTAGAGAAATTAGACGTGTCGACTCCTCCAGGTACCTGATTTGTGGTTCACGAGGTTGGGCATCTGGGAATCTGGGTACATAATGTAGTCTAGGTGCTAGTACATAATACTACCAGTAGTACCTGAGCTTAGCACTCATCCCGCAAGTACATGGTACATAGTGCCTAGTGTACCCCAATCTGCATTGAGTGTCTCTATGAGTACTGTCCTACCTACTCCGTACTCATAGATGTTTCACTCTCAGTCTAAGATACTATTCTTATCTTTCACTGTTCAAAGTTAACTAAACATGTCATGGTGATGAGGGACAGGAAGGCAGTGCAGAGGCAGGCCAACAAAACAGTAAACTAGGCATCCCTTGCGTTGGCATGTCACCCCTCGCGACAGTCCATGAGGCTGTTTGCTGGTGATGATGCTGATTATCCTGCATGACAACTCGCAAATTGCGTGGCTGCATGGTTGACCTTGCTTCATGATTTGTTAGCCCTTTTGTTTTCTGCATTATCTCCTCTGTTTTCATACTCGTATTCTTATTTTGGCTTTCCTTTTTTTTCTTCTTCTAATCATTTTCTATCTAGGGGGAGGGCTGATTTCCCTTCCACCTGAATATTCACTCGTTTGGCTGCATCTTTCTATCCCTTTACTTCGCATTGTCTTTTTTTATTTTTTATTTTTTATTTTTACTTCTCTTTCTTTTCCCTCGCAGCTCTGTTGCTTTATTCTTCCCCGTTCTCCCCCCTCCTTTTCCTCTCTCTCTACTTCTTCTCTTCTTCTCTTCTTTTCTTTTTCCTTCCCGAAGATGCTTGTTCCTATATCTCCCCGCTGTATCCTTCCTGTGCATGCCCACTTCGAGGCTCGAGCGACAGGCTGACTGGCGGGGAAAGGGTCTTGTGATCAGCCATCCCAGACACCCCCAGTGGTGGTGTTGACACGCAGACAGAAACACGTTCCTTGGCGTTTTGGGTTTCTTTGTTCTTGAGATATTACTGAACCACATCTGTCTACTCCGTAACTCAATCTGATCCATTCGCCATACCTAAACCCAAATTCTCCACACTTCGGTTGGTGGTTGTCCTGACGAAACACTTGTTTCTCCCCCGCTTTCCAAGCAGAATCCCTCGTGGAAGGGAAGGACATCTTAAGGTGTCTGCTTGACGATCGAGTATAAAGTTGGGATCATGCTGTCTCCCACCTCTCTCGCTTACACCCGTCAGGCTCCTCCAGTGAGACCATCTCGATCTCTAGAGGGACTGGAGCAGGTCGTCCCGCCCAGAGTTCCTCAACCCCCAACTCGTCCCACCCCGCAACTGGACAAACCTCTTCCCGACCTTCCCTCACAAGTACGGTCGCTCCCAGATGCCTCAGAGATGAGGGCATCGACAGCATGGAGCGATGACAGCAGTACCATTAGCAGTGTGGATAGTGACGGCAGCCAAAATGGCGAATCCACCCACTCGACGGAAAGCTATCCCGTTTTCGTCCGTTCGGCATCGGATGACCTGGTTGGGCTTGTCGATCATCCTCCCGTTTCGTCCTTGGATCGTGCCGAGCAAATAGTGGATCCTTGTGTGAAGCCATTAACGATAGCCTCATATTCTCCAAGGTTGTCGCTTTCCCATCATGCTCTATCAGTATCAAAAGACGACCGGTATGGAAGCCCGCCAGAATGGGCCCCGAAACGGGCCGGTCCGAACCACTATTTCCGGGAGAAGAAGTGGGATTTCTTCCCCGAATTAGCGACCCCCTCTGTCTTGGGTCCTGGAGCAGCTGGACGGTTTCCTCCCGCCAGTTCGCAATCGCGGAAGAGAAACGGGAGTAAATTGCATTTATCCTCGTTTGAATTTGGAAGGAATCGCAGGCGTTCGAATACCTCCGACCGGTGCACTCTGACGCTCGCCCATGAAGTTCGGGACTCGATCCGTTCCTACGTCCATCGCACATTGTCGAAACGTTCTGCGGAGAAAGACAAGTCGAAACGCCCAGGGCGCCCCGCCACCGCGCCCTCCTTCTACCCGCCCAAGTGTGCGTCTTCACAGGAGGCCGCCCCCTCGAGCGACCACTCCTATTCCTATTATGGAACATCTAGAGAAGAATCGAGCCCGGTGGATATGGATGTCCGGATGAGGACCTTGTCAATATCAACTACTTCGACTGCGAGCGAACGGGGGGTAGAAAGCCCCAAGCCAATTCCTCTTCACCGAACAAAGCAGCTTGCTGTCCCCATCACTCCGTACCAGAAGTACGGTGCGGCCATCTGGGACAAATCTGGCGGCACAAAGAGGGTCAGCTACCGGCCGAATCACCAGGTGAAATTTTCAAAGCATCAAAGGAACATTTACCCGTCTTCCACGCAAAAGTCGAAATCAAGTCCGGACTACACATCTTCCAATCCCACTGCGCCCTTATCGCCGCCGGTACGTTCCGTGATCCAGCAGAACACTCGAGAGGCCATGCGAGTGTTACAGGATGGAACCACTCAAGTGCTAGACGTGCTTGGTGAGGCGAAGAAGAAAGTGATTGGGTCGAGCGTTGACCGTCGACGAATGCAGCTCAAATCGCAGATTAAATTGATAGGGCCGGTCAACCCATACACTACCTATGGACGCGTTGATTCTTGGATATGATTTACTTCTTTTGCTTTCTCTTGCCCAGTGTTTCTGCATTCTGTCTCGGTCGAGCTTCTGGCCTTTTCCCGTTAACATTTTCTCCCCTTTGATGATTTTCATTTCTCCCTTGATATTTTGATACCTCTGGAAAGGCCTAAGGCTTACGTTTGGCGTCTGGGCACCGGATTTGATGATTGATGGAAGTTACTTTTTATGCCATCGATATGGATTATACACTTTTTGTAATTGAAGATATTCTGCAATAGATGAGATTTCCACCTATCCATTTCACCATACTTGTTCAATTCTCGTTCTCAATGCAGGGTATTAACCTTGTACTCTGTAGTGATTGACCACACTGTCTGGGGTGACACGAATCGATGATCTATGTATAACCTGAAGCGTATCTCGGTGCAGGGGATGCTGTCATGGTACAAGTCCTACAAGGATATTTATCAATAACCATGTCGATATTCAGCTCCTTCAGATCAATTCAGACAACTGAGGAGATATAGACTAATTCCTGATACTAGACGAAATCATGCAACATCTCATGACCATCGTTGATGTCTCACATTCCACCTCATCCGCTCCGTTTCCCCGCCATCCGCCGCTGTTGACTTCTCCGCACTTAAACGTCATCCCTGGTCCTGGCGAATATCCGGCTGGATTCCTTTTCCTAACCTTCCCCTTCTCCTGTTTCCTTCTTCCTTATCTCTACGGAGAATATAGACCCTGAGTCTAGAGTTTGAATAACATAATTCTTAACCAAACCGTTAAGGTGTATCTTTCAACCTATTTACATCAACGGTCTAGGGCCGCCGATATGGGTGGAGACGCCCCATTGCGAGCTCCAAGCTCGCTCCCTCGAGCCCCAGAACATCCCGTCGGCCAACGCATCAAGACAATCTACACGGATCGACTGCGCCAGTTCACAGACGCAGGCCAGTACCGTGAGCAAAGCCTGATCTCGTACGTCTATCCCATCAACAGAAGAGCCCCCGCTAACTCCCCACCACAGCAAGCTTCACGAAGCCACCACTTCCGACGAAGACCATGTCAAGCTGTCCGTTTACTCACCCCCGGACCTGCAGCGTCCAACATTCGAGGAGGCGACATCGCACGAGTTCACGCCCACGCATATTGGCGCCTCCTTCGGCCCTAGTTGGTCGACGCACTGGTTCCGGATTCGGCTGACGGTCCCGCGCGATATGCTCGACAAGGAGCGATTGGAGTTCCACTGGGATGCAAATAATGAGGGCCTGGTGTGGATGGAGGATGGACGGCCGGTGCAGGGGTTGACTGGGGGCGGGGAGCGGATCGAATGGGTTATCCCTGATGCGTGGCGCGACGGCAAGGAACATACGTTTTACATTGAGATGGCGTGCAATGCCATGTTTGGGAATGCGCCTGGCGGCGATTCCATCCAGCCGCCTGCGCCGGATAAGTACTATACGCTGCATACGGCGCGGATTACTGCGGTCAATGTGGAGGCGCGGGCGCTGTTCTATGATTTTTGGATCATTGGCGGTGCGTATACGGCTGCTATTGATGTGTTTATTAGTGGCTGACTTTTGCAGACGCGGCGAGGGAGTTCCCCGGTGATTCTTGGGAGGCTCATGAAGCGAATATGGTTGCCAATGCCATCTTGGACGCGTTCATTGCGGGTAACGGAAGCCAGGAGTCGATCAAGGAAGGGCGCAAAATCGCTCAGAAGTATCTTGGAGATAAGGTCGACTCGTCCGAGGTTTATGAGACGGATACCCAGCCCATCGTCTACGCCATCGGGCACTGCCATATCGACACCTGCTGGCTCTGGCCTTGGGCGGAGACAAAGCGCAAGGTTGCTCGCTCATGGTCTAACCAGTGTGACCTGATGGACCGGTATCCGGAGCACCGATTCGCTTGTTCTCAGGCCCAACAGTTCAAGTGGCTCGAGCAATATTACCCTTCAGTCTTTGACCGCGTCAAACGATGGGTCAGAAAGGGCCATTTCCAGCCGATTGGGGGCAGCTGGGTTGAACACGACACCAACTTGCCCAGCGGTGAGTCGCTGGTGCGACAATTCATTTACGGCCAAAGGTTCTTTGAGAGCCGATTTGGCGAGCGTTGCAGCACCTTCTGGCTGCCGGATACCTTTGGCTACTCCAGTCAAATCCCTCAGATTTGCCGGTTGGCGGGCATGAACCGCTTCTTTACCCAGAAACTCAGCTGGAACAATATCAACAACTTCCCGCACACTACCTTCCAGTGGGTTGCGCTTGATGGTAGCCAGGTAATGTGCCACATGGCTCCGTCCGAGACGTACACCGCGGATGCCCATTTTGGCGACGTCAAACGCAGCGTGACCCAGCACAAATCGATGGACTATGACAACACTTCGCTTCTGGTA